GGGTTTCTCTTCATTCACACATTCAACAAGTTGCCATGGTTACATGTCGTCACCAGTCCTGAGCCAATGAAATCTGTTGTAATGTAGCACATTGCAGACAGATGTGTTGCAGACATATGTGTTGCAGACATATGTGTTGCAGACATATGTGTTGGACTCCTTTATTCTGCTTCCACTTTATTTTTGCCAAATTAACAGTGATAGCCTATCTAAAAAAAGAATAATGGGGGTGCTACTGTGTATCAATATGGGCTGAAATAGTTAAATATGCAACACACTTTACTACACTAGGATTGAGAAGTATAACTCAAACTGATTCTTGGTATTTTTATTAATTTACTAGACTTTCTATTAATTGTTCTCTTCTTTACGTGATTTATTGCTTTACGTTGTTTTTTTTTTGTTTTTTTTAGTAAGAGTTTGAGTTAGCTATGATTTTAAATGCTACAGTTTTTATTACTGAACCAAGGTTAATAACATTTCATCATGATTGGGCAATGCTACTGTAATCTTATTTTGATTATATGAAAAGCAAATTAATCATCACAATAATCTGTTCATTTATACAGTATTTGGAGTTTTTATGGTAATTTATGGGCTAAATCCTAAACATCTTTCACAATCGACATAGTTTTAGAATAAACTTATGATAAAGATTTAATAAACCTACCACATAGATAGTTGTTTAAAATATTAAAACTCCTTTGGATCAGCTGTGTAAAATTGTGAAATATGCAATTTGGCAGTTCACATTGAAATGTCGTACCAAATGTAAACGTGAGTGTTCTCATTGCAGCCATGGAGACCAATAAATATTTACTTTGAAAATCCTCACCTCAGAATTTTTAAAGCCAAAGGGGCAAAGCCCACGGTCAGTATCGAAGTGTGAATAGTGTTATTACCATTCTTGGTGTGGTAGCTATATTATTGTAAAATTTAAGCCCAGTCGGTTTAGTAGTTTTTGCGCCTATTAGTAATACACATGCAGACAGACACCATTAGATTTTTTATAATAGTATGGATTTATTCATTTATTTTATTACAATGCTACAAAACAGGTTTAGACCCAATTACAAAGTAGCTTTAACATATTACAAAAATTAATTGACATGTATGGTAAATCATAAAATATTAAATCTAGTCTAAGTCCATCTTGCTGAAGAAATGACTTTCATTATTTAACTCACAACAGTACAATAAATAACAATAGGCGAATGTATAACAGAAACTATTGTTAGTCTTGAGATACAATTTTATACAATTTCCTTGAGATAATGTAGTTTCGCAATATAATTTTAGTCGTTATATATTGACCTGGTTGAAGTTCAAGGTTCCTTACTCTTTGTCATACTCCCATGGCCATGGGGGAGCGAGCTGGTCAAGTGGTTAGAGCGCGGGACTTCCTGAGGTCCCGGGTTCAAATCGCACCAAATCACCAATGGATTTTATCACAAGTGATAATGCCACAACCCCTAGGTCTAGCCTGAAGTATTGTGAAAAACAATACCGGGTTCATGTCTAGTGTCCTAGGACAAAGAAAAAAACTCCCATGGCTATTCAAAACCAACCAATAGCCTCCTCTTCTTTCGATCTCATGCATCTTCTTCATCGGCTCTCAACGTTCTCATGTCTTTGGCTACCTCGAAGCAGCCAAATTACCACTTAGTTTACAAAACCAATTTCTATTTCTATAACTTCAAGTTCAAAGAAGTTACCTTAACCACTCCAAGTAATGTAAATATTTTTTAGTTACTGGAAATACAAACAAATGTTTTTGTTTTCTACCAATCTAGTCACAAGTTATTTACAATTTATGTTTTATGTATATGGTTACAGCTCAGAAGGTGTTGCAGAAGTTTTCTCCTTTCTTGATCTCAACGACTGGAGATATCATACAGTTTGTGCCTCGTCAAAGATTTCTCATAGCCATTGTGAACAATGAAAAGGTTAGCAAAATCGTTAAGTGAATAAACAGTAGGATTATGATTTTAAAACTTATATCATTCTTCAGTTTCCCGATACAGTTATAATATAAGTTGAAGGCGACAGTAAAATCTGTGACGAATCTCATAACAACTTTTAGTTGAGTATTAAACATTTACTATTAGTAATAATATAAGTGTAAAAAAGGCCTGTCTTTACTACAAATTTAATGTCATAAGCAAAAAGAATATTGTTATTTTTTTCATAAAATTACTAGAGTTTTAAAAATAAAATTAGGTAATTGTTTAGGCTATCCTTGAAAAATATCCTTACTGAACTCTAGTGGAAAATTAGCAAACTATTTTGTGTGTTGATTAGTGCTTCCATCAAGTGGAAGACTTTTAAAACTACTTTATCTGGGGAGGTATATCCACTTTCTCCTTCTCTTTTCCAATAATGACTTGAAGCAAGCAACATGTCCAGAGTTCTTCCCTATTGTACAGTTTTTCTCTCAAGTGAACAGTGAACAATAATTATTCCTTTTTTAAATTCAGACAAATCTAAAGACTATGTGGCCACTTACCACCTCTTTCCTTTCCCAAAGCCTCAAACATACAACTAATTGGTAAAATCGTTATATTAATCTGCCCAGATAATATGTACCATAAATTCAAAATAGTTTATTAAAGTAAGAATAATTATGTTACCCAAATGTTAAAAGGTAGAGTAAAATAAATGTATTGACCACATGTCGATTTTTTTATGTCAAACCCTCAAGTCACTGAATTCCCAATACCAGTCCACTCATGTCATGTCAAATTTATTTTTTTTGTGCATTGGTCCTAACACTAGTAAAAAATTAAACGTTTACATTTGCCATTTATGAAAATAGTTACTGTGACTGGGTATTTCCTTTTTTAATATAACTTTTTGCAAATGGGTTCAGAATCAAGTCTTTGATATTTTTAAACTCTTCTCAAGACCGACCTTTCAATATGTGGATAACTACGCAAGAATTGTATCTGATTCTACCTAAAATTTGTATTTATATGAACCTATCATGACTGAAACTAAGAAAGTTGTAAACCTTGGTATTTAAAATATTTTTCAAATTAATCCCAACATTAATTGGTTTGCCAGATCTTGAGCACACGGTTATACGACAATATTACTTGGTTTGCCAGATCTTGAGCACACGGTTATACGACAACATTACTTGGTTTGCCAGATCTTGAGCACACGGTTATACGACAATATTACTTGGTTTGCCAGATCTTGAGCACACGGTTATACGACAACATTACTTGGTTTGCCAGATCTTGAGCACACGGTTATACGACAATATTACTTGGTTTGCCAGATCTTGAGCACACGGTTATACGACAACATTACTTGGTTTGCCAGATCTTGAGCACACGGTTATACGACAACATTACTTGGTTTGCCAGATCTTGAGCACTTGGTTATACTATTTATCTTGTTTCTAGATAATTCTGCACACCTACAACTGGGCGAAAGACTTGGTAGAGTTGCTAGTCAAACAGATAGGTATGTTGGGCCAGTGGCTCACTGCTAGGTCAAACCTTCAGATTGGAGTCACTTGTCAGAAAATGGGCCTCTTCCTCAACCAGCCCATGGCCAGGAAATCTGACTCTCAGGTAATCTAACAAATTACAAGTCTAACAAAAATGCCCATGTTTTTTATGCTTGATTTAAACTTGAGATAAAAAGCAACAAGAAGTGGACTGAAGGATTAATAAAGCACCGTTTTTTTTTTAGTAATTTTTGTCCGATTTTGATGAAATTTGGTTTAAAGGTGTAATGCGGGATAAACTTGAATGAGTTCGCGAACCACCATGTTTGGACCATGGGAATGGGGTTTTACAAGAGAAAAATTACTTGTTTTATGGGATAAAAATTGGTTTTTCTCATTTTTGACCCTCAAAACATAAAATTTCTCAATTTCTCTCCAACCCTTCTTAAAGAGGTTAAAAACCAAATAATTTAGTATATCAAATTGTTTTTGTACGGTTATTAGTAACAGAGGAAATTTAAAATTCCCATGTTATTCTTATGGAATATATTGTAAAATGTTGTAGTTTGCTCGTTTATGGATATATTTTGATCAATCTTGGCAAATTTATTTATCTTATACCAAGCTATTAATATTTTATTAAAAACACATTATTTATTAATTTCCTTGTAGCAGCAAACCTAGGTACTCGTTAAACCTAATGTTATTTAAATTTAATTGAAAATCAATTCAATCTGGAAAATTACGGCGGAAGTATTTTGGTGTAGATCTAAAGGCAAAAAATTTAATTCATAGTAAATTAGTAGTTTTCAAACAAACAATCTTTTAAAAGTATAAGAGTATTGCATTATTCGTTCTGCCTTTGAATCAAGTTACGAACCGTATTAAAATGTGCAATTTGCACATGGGTCTTCTTGTTGTGTTCCTTAACTGTTAACGTGACAAGATATTAGCAAGATTATAAATTATAATCATTCTCATTTTAGATTCTATTGTACACGAGTTTTACTTGTTAACTGAGATAGTGTATTCCAACAATTGAATGGTAAGTTTGGAACAGTCCAAGTATTTTAACTCTTTGCAACATTTCCAGGTAACCAACAACCCGTTCATGTCACAGATAGGAGATGTAGAGAGCCTGATGACATTCCGAGCGGTTGGCAGCCGTGGTGCGACCAGTAGTGGTGGGCCTACAGTGTCTGCAGCTCACCTACAGGAGGTGTTAAGAGATACAAGACCTGCTCCCCTGAGGCAACAGACCTCCGACCTCGTAGTAGCGAGTGTCCAGCAGCTTCTAGACACCCGTGCCCAGGATAAACGAGGTGCTTAGCTAATCGTCTCTTGAATATGACCAATCATCAAGTTCATTGAATTGCTTACCAAGGAGGAGAGGATGTTCAGAAGGAATCCTCTTCCACATGGAGGTCTGGAATGACATACAGAAAGTTCTAAGTCTAAAGGTAGGGCAGGGTAGACTTAAGTCTTCCCATAGGAGTACAACCAACGGTGTTTCAGACCGAGATCACCCTGATCATAGAGTATGCCAGAGAGAACCTGAGACAGGTCTTCAGGGAAATGAACATCTCAATTTTCAAAGTCAGTCAGGATACACTAACACACTCAACTCGTGCGAGTTCAATTCCAAGATGATCTTAGACTTGAACTCACAACAGTATCTGCCCTGAGCAGTTACAGCATGGTGACGTTGGGTCCTCGACACTCAGGGATAGAAGGAAATGAGGTTTCTGAATAGCTATTGCGAGTCCCATGCCTCTCTTTAAATAAGGTCACTTAAAAGTTACACTCGCTTAGCTGTTGTAGAGAGGTGAAAGGTTGAAAGAGACATAAGACTGTTACAGGTTTGACCAAACAAACGTGTAATAAAACAAATAAATTTAGTAAACAAAGAATTTACTAAGGGGGCACCACAAAATAATAACTTAGAAAAACAAAGATTAACAATAGTAAGAACAAGATTTACAACGTTAAGTTACAAGAAAAAAAATTTAAGATTTAGTTAATATCAAATTATATGACTTGATTGTTTTACATCTTTATGAATTTAGTTATGTTTTTTTACATACTGCTAATGGTCCCTGAAGCACACACACAGACACACGCACTCCGATCTTCGTTGTAGCCCACGGTAATCTCCTTGATTTTTCCTCTCAGGTCCTCCAACTCCAAGACTCGTCACCCTTCCTTCATCTTCTTCATTAGACCTTCTTATTGGCTGATTAGGATTACCAATAGGATGTGTGGCTTATAGGTTCAAGAATCAAGAATATTTATTTGCCATTAAATACCAGAACATTACAATAGGCATCTATAATACAATCGGTCTTAGCGCCTAAAAATTCTTCTACAGTGTAGAAAGCCTTACTTTTTAACCATTTTGTAATTACATAATTAAATTTTTTATTAGGCAACAGCCTCACAATCTCTGGAAGTTTATTGAAGAACAATAGCTGTTGGTATTTATTTATGGATTTTAAAGTACTTGTGCAGTCTAATATTGGGTTTAACAAGATTACCTCTATTTCTTGTGTCATAATCATGAACTGATAACTGTTGATTAAAAGTTAGATTTTACAAAAATAAGATATACATAATTACTCTTCTATCATCTAAAATGTCGGTCCAATTATTCTATAATGTTACATGACTAAACAATTGAACAGGTTATAAATTCCTTACAACAAATGTGGGAGTAGTGATATTCCAATCGTCTATTATGAAGTTTGTGATGTTGTTAACTCAATAACTCAATAACTCATTTATTTAACCAAAAATAACAATTACATGCATTGGTCATGTCATTTAGCAAAACATACAGTTTCTTGACTTAAATAAGAAATAATAACTGTTCTTTTTTTACACTAAGGATACCTATGATCAAACAAGTTTGATAGTTTATTTTAGCCGTCAGCCAGGAACTTACGGACGCTGTAATAAGCTTTATTTAAAAGAAAAGATTTTAGGGTTTTTTTAAATTTCAGATGGTTTGATACTGCTTTGAGGTGAGAGGGAAGATGGTTGAACATTTTTATTGCATTATATCGGAGATGGTTTTGAAAGAAGGAAGTGTGGTGTCTAGGAACTGGGAGGGTATTTGTGGATCTCAAACTATAATGATGGTCTGTTGGAGTGTTAAACTTGCCAGTGTTTTGGTGCAGAAAGGATAATGTCTTGTAGATGTAGAGACATGGGAACGTTAATATTTCGGATGATAGAAAAACTGGTTTACAAGTCTGACGTCTATTCATTGAAAAGATGGCTCTGATTGCCCTCTTTTGAAGGCGGAATAAAAATAGAGTTCTTTTGTTCTCACACCCCCAGATAGGCAAGGCGTACACGAGATGAGGGAAGATGAGACCGTAATAAGCAGAAAGAAGGACATCGGGCTTAGATAGCTTTGCAAGGGTGCGGATGGCAAATATCCCTGAACTTACCCTATTGATGACGTATTGAATGTGGTCATGGAAATTAATCTTCTCATCTAAGATCAGCCCAAGAAACGGTGTCTTCTCTATTGGGTGTACTGGAACTTCATCCAAGTGAAAACTAAAATACTTAGAAGATCGATCAGAGATATGAAAATTGAGAAGTTGAGTCTTTTGAGAGTTTATCGAAAGCAGATTATTCTCAAACCACTGAACTAGCTTGTTGGCTTCAGAGAAGGTCAATTGCTCAAGAGTCTCTACATCAGGGCTGGACAAGGAAAGAGATGTATCGTCGGCATAAAGAATGGTCCTGGCCGATTCAACACCCAAGGGAAGGTCGTTAATGAACAGGAGAAAAAGTGTAGGGCCTAAGATGGAGCCCTGGGGCACACCTCTCGAGACAGGGAGCTCAGGTGAATTGAATTTCCGCAGAAATCCATGCTCATCGACTGACGATACCCGTACACACTGCCTCCTGTCCCTCAGGTATGACCTGAACCATTCTAACGCCAAACCTCTTATCCCATAGTTATGTAATTTTTCTATTAGAAGGTCATGATTAACAGAGTCAAAAGCTCTACTCAAGTCAAAAAGCAGTCCCGTGGAACAGTTTCCTTTATCAAGAGAGCAGACTATGTCATCAATGAGGGCAAACATTGCACTCGTCGTAGATCTATCTTTCACAAATCCGTGTTGGTTTTCACATATTATATTATGTTGTTTTAAAAAATTTGTCAAACGAATTGAAACAACCTTTTCAAAAATCTTCGAGATAGCAGTCAAAATGGATATAGGCCGATAGTTATTGAGGTCTTTTTCATCACCCTTTTTATGTACTGGTCTGACTATCGAAAGTTTTAAGGCATCTGGAAAACAACCCGAGACAAAAGAGAAATTAATCAGGTGGCTAATTGGTCCAGCTAGTAGATCTGACATACTCTTTAAGATTTGTACTGAAATTTCATCTGAACCAGCAGAATTTTTGTTTTTCAGAGAGGCAATGACTTCTTTTACTTCTTCCTTTGTTGTTGGATGGAGGAAGAGTGAGCCTTTAGGTCGTCCTACCAATGCATCGCTTGTTTTCAATCCATTCTCTGAGTTATTAACATTGACTTTGACAAAATTATCATTGAATCTGGAGGCAATGTGCAAGGGATCGTAAGTCGGCTCACCATTATCATCTCTGATACTGATTGTTGAATTCCGATCTGTCGATTCTGTCTAGTGGGTCGACTTTGAGATTGTTTACATTTCCACGAAAGGTGAATTAAATGAAAAATGGCTGGTGATTGGTGATCTCTGGAATCACAAGGAATGATAGTGTCAATGATTATTTTTTTCTCTTGGGAAACTGAACAGTCACATGGTAGTCTTATCTCTAGAGTTCCGGTTCTCATATGTGGGATGGTTTTGATGTGAATTTGTTCAAACAATTGACTATTAAACCACTTTAAAAAAGTAATAATGAACTTCTAAAATATAATGAATAATAAATTAATAAAAATGATTCCGACTAAATTAATATGGTTGTACAAATGTCTTTGGCACCTGTATTTAGTTATTGAAAGTGTGTCTGTACAGGTCACCAGAAGAAGCTGTACACAATGTGGCAAATGAGAGGGGGGACCTCCAATACCTCCATAGTTGAGGATGTACTAGAAGTGTTCATGCTTTACTCAAGGGTTATTCACTACTGTGTCACTCCATTGCTGTTCCTGCCAAGGTGATCATAACACTCCTGAATATATTTCATCAAATTTGAAGAGATTCTATTCAATAGAAAAAAAATCATAGGGAAAATACATTAATGTTCCATTGTACAGTTGGATTTTTGAAGCTAGAAGCGGTTAAGGTTTAGTGGAATATTTTTGAAGATTTTGAAGATGTTTTTGGCTGTAGTGAGATCATGTGTTAATAAGCGTCAAATTTTGAGGTTAAATCAAAACAAACAAACTGGCATACATTCTTGGATTTGTCAATAGTTAAATATATTTTAAATTTAAACTTACTCTAGCCTACTTTTATAAAAGTACTTGGCCATTTTTAGAGATTATTTACTGTGAAATAGAGACCTGATTCCTAATTCCAAATAAACTAATGATTAAGTTGTCATTAAATTAATGTCTCCAAATGATAAGTGATGTAAGGTAACAAATTTTAAGGGGGATAAAAAATTGCATCACACTTTGAAAATAATTAATTTGGACAAGCAAATATAAAAATATTGAATCTTCTTGCAAAATTAATGTTGATCATTATATTAATAGAATAATGTAGTTGCTATGACTGGGATACACATAAAATAACTGTTGGGACATACAGTAATGATAATTTACGTTTTGTTTGGAAATATCTTAAAAAATAAATATAGACCCAGCTTTTAAGGGTTTTAAGTTAGGGACCAGAATTAAATACTCTTGAGATGACGAGGTAAACCTTTATAGACTAACACTTTTACCAATTTAAATTATAATTAACAGCTAATTGTATTGCTAATAATTCACTAATGCAATCTGATAAGTTCACCACGTACGTAACAGGAGGATAACATTATACGATAGGCCAAGGAAGCAAGATTCGAGTTTGGTTTATAAAATGCAGTAGCCTAAATACTGAATGTTTTTTTATAAATGTGACAATAAAATATACTAAATTAATTCATTTTATATTAAATAAGCATTCTTTCGTAAGTAATACAACACGGGCCCTAGATGCCTAATTGACAACATGCCAGTTTGTTTGTTTTGATTTAATTTCAAAAGTTGACATGTATGAATGAACACATGATTCCACTACAGCCAAAAAGGATCATCTTCAAAGACATTCCTCCACACCTTAACCGCTTCTAGCTTAAAAAAATCCAACTGTAGTTTTATGCTTATCTGCTTCATTCAGGGAAGTTATATTGGTCAAAGAAAGAAAATCAAAATTTAAATTTTTTCCAAATTTGTGTTGTTAACCAGATATCTGCCATTTTGTATTTTTTACATAAACATTTTTATCTTTAAATTGTTTTAACCAATCTATATGAAACTTGGTATGTATATCAAGGTAAAACTTAATATAGTATTTTTACACTAGTTATTACTCGGGCATATACAGTATTGCCCTAGTCGTTCATTAAAATACACTTTATACAACTGATACATTTTGTCATGTTTTGTCTCAATGTACAATTTCAATTGTTGACGTTAAATTGTGACAGTTGATTGGAAAATGTTTATATCTTACAACTAAAACTATTCCTACTTTTGCAGATGGAGAGTTCAAAGTGCCTCAACACGTGATTCATCTCTGAAATCCCACAAAAGTATATCTCAGGTAAGATACATTTTTACATTTTTTAACATTTTTAGGGACATTCCTCAAACTGCAGTTTATGAAATAGGAGAATACAAATAAAACTAAACTCAAACTCTAAAAAATACTAAAACGAACAGAAATACTGACTACTGAGCCTTAATTTGTTCGGCAACTTAAAAAATCTTTGATCGAATAGGGAGCTTGTTCTACTCTACGTAGTCTAAAATTTACTCACAAACAGTCTAAAATTTGTTTATCGATTGTACAGAGTTCACTTCAAGAATCATCTCCGATATTGGAAGAAAAATGGCATCAAAATCTGTGCAGCAACTTCATCAATGAATACAAGCAATATCTTCAAAGTCTGGGCTTCATCCCTGTTCAGATTGTGGCTTCCTCTCCAAAAAAAGGGTTGGTATCATTGCTCCACCCCTAGTTTTGCCTCTGCCTTTTCCTTATTCTTAAGTTATTTCATTAAAAACATTTTTAAATAACTCAAACTATAATATGCCTTTGTTGTACAAATATCAAGTAATGGAGTAAAAATAGAAATCTTATTAGGGGCTGCAGTTAGTGGTTAAAGCCTAGAGTATAAAAGGGTTATCCAGAAAGTAAAGAACGTTTCTTTCTGACACCGCTAGGCGCTCGCCGATCTTGTACATTTTGGTCCATGCACACTCGGCAACTCAGTCGGCGTCCAGCTGTGACAACTCGAGCATTCTCTCGCTGTTCGTTTTTTCACAATTTCAACTTAAGATGAGCGATTAAAAATCCCGCCAGTTAAGAGGTGCGGTCAGTAATACGATTTTTGTTAGCAAAAAACTTAATACGAATAAACATTTATCACCAAGTTTGTGAAGTTTAAGGAAACAACGTAATGAATTAAAGTTCTGAAAAAATGGTGCAGTCCGATACCCGATAACGGAGCTTCTGCTTTGTTGTGTGATAATTTCAAACAACAAAGTCCGTGAAACTCGAGGAGAAGTTTCGGTTTTAAGTTTTTTTCAACAAAAACCATATCACTGACCGCATCTCTTAACTGGCGGGATTTTTAAACGCAGCTCTCATTTTAAGTTAAAATTGTGAAAACACGGACAGCCTTCCTTGAAATGCTCCCGATGTCACAGCTGGACGCCGCCTGAGTTGCCGAGTGCACACGCACCAAAATTTACGAGATCGGCGCGTGCCTAGCAGGGTCAGAGCGAAACGTTCTTTACTTCCTGGATAACCTTAGTAATTCTTCATTCCTGAGTTAAAGTTCTGTACGGCATTTATGTTCATGCCGTTCTTTTAACTTTAACTAATAATATTTTGTCTGAAAGAATGTTACCTAAATAAACTAGGGGATAACGATAAATATAGCACCCGGCATAGAAACAAAATTGCTGTTGGTGTCCATAGATTGGAATTTTATAACAAAAAACCATCATGTGCTGGAAGAAAATTGTTGGTAGGGCTTCCAGAGGAAAATTGATTATAGCTTGAAATATACTCAACTCAAAAAGTACTGTATAATTTTGATGAACTGGAGCATTTACAAGACTATATACAACATTTAGCTTAAAAGTGACATAAAATCAGTTTCAAGTGGGTTAGTTTCAAAATATTCTCTAACATAGTAGAAAGGATTGGTCAAAAGCCAATTTTTAAGCTTTTAAAAAGAAAACAGCTAAATACAGACAAGTTTTGGCAGACATCCGGCAGCTTATTGAACATATTTAATCCTAGGTAGGTATAATAATTCTAGGTTTTTGTGAGTCTACATCTTTAAAGGTCAACATATTATAGTTTTAAAATAATTTATATTATAAAGATGTTAAATGTTCAACACTTTGAATCCAAAATAAATTTTAAATGATTTTTTTGCAGATAGATTTTAGTTGTAAAAACAAAAACTGTATACTGAATTTGATAAATACATCTTAAATAGTTTTTTAGAAATATGAAACACAAAAAGACAAAATTGCGGATATCTCGATTATGAGGCGTTTTGGGAAAAAATGTTTGTTCCTGATTTTAGTTTTATTTTGAAACATTAACACCTATTCCTAAACTGTACTTGTTTAAGGGACACCCCGTATAACCATATTAAACCAATACTGAAAGACACATATCCTTGCCTTTTGTTAGGTTCCGCTCAGCCAAAACTATCCGCAAGGAGGCAAACCCAGCTTGTTATCTCCAGAAGTCTTTGCTGGGAGGGATATTACTGTTTGAACTGAGTATGTCTGAGCCTTTCTTCTACGCCAAGCTGCATGCGCTCGAGTGTTCTAGACTGGAAGGGAAGGCTTCAAGTGGACTCATATCTCAGGTACTTACCAAGAATACTGTTAATATTTCCAACAAACTTGTGTTTATCACACTATACTATACAATAATAATGCTTGATGATTAGGAGTGGGAAAGAAATGTATTAAATAAATAAGAAATCTCGTTGTTTTATACACTATATATAAACTTGTACAGGCTATATAAACTTATAGGCTATATAACTTAACTTCTTTTTTTTTGGAAGTTAAGGTAAAGATCGTTGATTGCTGTCACTAGAATCGTAAATTTTAGTTTGTGAGCTCAGGGATACATTATCATCACTATCCTTGTTCAATTTTGGAATCTTAAACTTCAGAATCACATGACGTCACCCAGGTCACTGACCCGAAAATTCCACGCTAAAGTGAATTTGTATTGCTATGCGCGACCAGCACTGACTTCGTCTGTTGTTTTTGTTAGGTTAGTATCCGAATGATAACAACCAATATTTTTAATATTTTTACCCTGTTTTGGTCTTACAATTTAGCAACATTTCCAAGGTATTACAACTCGCAAAAAATTATAGATTTTTTTTACGCACCCTAATATATATATATGGCCTTATTAATGGATTCAATCCAGAATGTCCCAATTGGACTGGACTAGAGTTGACCCAGCTTCAGCAGACATTCAATATTGACAATGTCCCCTGTTTCTCCAGCTGTGCTGGAACATTATATTTTATTTTTATTTATTTTTTTTTTTTATTTATTTACTTTACAATCTGTTCTATTATATTTATAAATGTACATTTATTGTGACAATAAATTTATATTCTATTCTATCATATTCTAAGGTTTGATAATGGAACTATAACACTATAAAACCAATCCAATATTAGATAGTTGAATGATGATGACCAAAGGTACTTAAAAGAAAATATTCATTATTATACTGAACTCCTCGAATATGTCTGAGCACAAGAGCTTTTTACAGTTTACTCTGAGTTTCTTGGACGAATGTGACAAAGTGAAAGTGTTGATGCATCTTCACTCGTTCACTTACGACTACCACCTCCGTACATTGACCAGGTTCGTTTGTGGAGTTGAGACTTGCTTGCGGACAGGCTATCACGTCACAGGGTTCTTGGATGATTTCTTGAAGTATTACAGTAAAGCTCCTAACTACGCCTACAGCTTAGTGCATTCAGGTGAGTCTGATGTGTGTTGACTATTGAGAGTACATTGTAGTCCCTCAATTGCTTATACATGACTCACCTTGTCTCAAAACTTTCTTAGGTGACTGTTGAACAGAATATCATCAAGTGGTAGGATATTTGTCCTATTGGAATTTGTCAGTTACACTAATAACACAATAGATTACATTAGACTTGTGAGTCTAACATAAAAACAAAACTCATCAAAACTGGATAAGTATATAAGTTAATATAGTGCAATAGGCTCAACTTGAAGAAACAGATAATATCTATAAATTGGTGTAAAATACCTGCATTTATGCGATCTTGTTTGTAGCTGCGTTGCTACCGGTTTCAACTCACATTGGAGTCATCTTCAGGCAGTTATAAGATGTCTTCTAGCTTCATTCGAAGGTCGTCAATAGATATAAATAAATAAACAAAACACAAACACGTACACGGACATAAAAAAGAACATTTAAGGCTATAAAATACTGAAAACGGTAGGCCTACGGGACACGACACGACGTGATCGGGCAAAAGTTATGTCTAGACATAACTTTCACATAAGGTCTAGACATAACTTTCGCCCGATCACGTCGTGTCGTGTCCCGTAGGCCTACCGTTTTCAGTATTTTATAGCCATAAATGTTCTTTTTTATGTCCATGTACGTGTTTGTGTTTTGTTTATTTATTTATTATCTATTGACGACCTTCGAATGAAGCTAGAAGACATCTTATAACTGCCTGAAGATGACTCCAATGTGAGTTGAAACCGGTAGCAACTCAGCTACAAACAAGATCGCATAAATTCAGGTATTTTACACCAATTTATAGTATTTAAATGCGATCAGGAGGCTAAAATTCAATATAATGAAGATAATATCTCTTCAATATCATTAATACATGGTAATACTTTTGTCCGATACATCGTTCAATGCAACACTATGTAGATTGTATTGTATTTTCCAAATAGTAAGTAGTAGTTTTAAGTTCTGAACCATCCCTGTGACATTGGACATAGTTTAGAAATAACTCAGAGCATAAGTTAAACCCCCCTGCTTTTAACATACTTTAGCAAGCATTAAAACTAATAGCAACTTCAGCAATAATTTGAAATACTCTTTAAATGCTTAATAATCCTGTAGGTTTTTGTATAGTTAATTATTATTCTAACAGCAAATTTATTCTAGGAAACCTGGTAATGGCCAAAATGTCCACCCCTGCCAACATGCTGTTTAACTATCTGCTAAGTCATAAAGAGAACTACCCCATGAAGGTGATAAGAGTGGCAATGCCTGGCCAGGAATTGGATGATAATCCACTGTCCATCGGTTCTGTAAGTTTTGACAGACTTTTAAAGAAACCAGTTGCAAAATAAAAGTGGTCTGATAATAAGAGCTTAATTAAGTGGCTTTGTACTGTATGTTGTATGTTTATCGTACAAAACATTTTGCCATTGACAAAATATTTGTAGTAATAGTGTTGTCTTAATTAGCCAGGTGATCAGCTGTACTGGCCTTTTGCTCAGCGGCTTGGATAATTTTCACTTCAGTTGTCCATGCTACTCGAAGGGCCAGTCATACTGCCCAACATAAAACCTTAAAACAATAGAACTTCCTGGTTCGATTAAGTCTGCAGCTTCCCTCAAATCGTTTAAAAAGCAGTGTTTTAAGTTTTTATGTAATAAATGGTGTTAAAAGGTAGATGATGTTTCCTCTGACTCTTGTACAGTATTATCATTGAGTATACATGTACTAGAGTAGCCACTCAATGGAGGTTATCGTTACCTGAACAGCACTGTTGCAGAGTAGCGTCAGCGGCCCGAACTACTCCACCTTGGGCTTGTCGGTAAGGCAGTTTGGTTGTTTTGTATTATTACTTTCATTGTAGGTTGTAAAATTTCATTTTTGTTGATGAAATTCGTTTGTTTTTTTCTAGTTTTGTTGTTTTACAATACATTTTTAATACTAAATTATTAAAAGGTCATCAGAGGGCACTGCACTACCGACAGACTTCCACGCCCCAAGCGTCAGCGGCCCGAACTTCGTTGCCAAAATTGGTAACAACTAATAGCATTATGTGACAACTCTTATACGTGTATACTCAATGGTATTATTAAGATATTTGTTTTGTCACGATTATAGTATTGACACTATTCATGTATATTGTGTACAAAACTAATAAAGGATGATTTGATTTGACTATTCCGAAACATTAGTAACTAAACATGTTATTTTCATGTGCATTTCTCATCAGGTCAGTTTCTATTTTGCAGCCCAGTGAGTATGTGCTGGTACAACAACAGAGTTCCGCTACTCAAGTGATGTACCGAGACAGCCAAGACAACAAACAAGTCTACGAATATGACATTGTCTTGGTCGTAGCCAATGAAGAAAGTTCAGACCCCAGCATTCTGAGACTCTGTTACTACATCCTGCTCACAAGCAGAAGGTGAATATTATTTTAAATAACTTCTTGATCAGCAATGTACGTGTTATTAAATTTACGGAAAGTTTTATTAAATTTATTGGCTTCCGGTAGCCAATAGGGTATAAGTAGGGACGCCATTAAGATTCCTGTCATTCGCCTATTGGGTCTGATGATGATTGGAGTGTCCAATCGAAATCGATCACCACTTACCATCTTTTTTGTATATTTACCGTCTTGTTAGTAACAGTATAAGCGTAAATATATGTTTTAAGTGTTATAAGACGTTTCTTTTATTTACTTTCCGTAGTATTATTTTATTAAACTTACAGTGGGAATGGTTAACCAACTTCTGCAACTAATATATAAACAAATATAAGCTTTTATGTATGTTTTTCAACGATTTAAGTTTCAAACTCAGACCAGCTGCATTGAATTTGTCATTCGGGTTTGTGTGGAAATCAAGGTCCTATCGCATCAAACCAAGCTAGTTAAAATCTGACACCAGCATCATGTTCTTTACCTCTTCCCTTATTTCCCTATTCTAGCCTCATTGTGAATTTAATTAACTCTCTCTGTGTTTGGTTCAGATTTCTCATCCTTCTTGTATGTCACATACGTGTAACCGTCATTATCCACCTTATTCCTATACTGAGCTGGAGTGTTTGCATCACTATGAACACATAATTTTAAAACAATCATGTTGAACAAGGCTAAGCTATTAAGATTTGATAATGCTAATTACAAAATCTGTTGCTGTATGCCATTCTGAAATTTTTAATTGGATTAAAGTATAATTTTTTTTACGTGGGTCTGTTTTACTTCAACATACATACTAAGTTTCATAATGATCAGTTGGAAAATTTCAAAGATAAAAATGTATATGTGAAAAAACCAAAATGGCAGATATCTGGTTAAGGAAGCGATTTTGGAAAAAATATTATTCTCGATGTTCTCTTTATTTTGACCCATACAACCATTTCCACGTTTGGTTGTTTACTTACGGGACACCTTGTATATCTATGGTATAATGGCAATGCAATATACTACCAATCAGTGTATAATGCTGTCTGAGAGCCTTTAAGTTTTGTGGGCTCCATTTTTCTCACAAATATTGTAGTACAAACCATACACATTCACAATTGGCAACAGTTAGAAGCTAACATAACCTATCAAACTGATTATGGCATGTTGCTTGTTCAGGGAACCTTATGCTAAACTGGAGAACGAAAGGAAACTAGGCAAGTTCTGCACAGTTTCAACAGCCAATCCCCTGACTCTATACACCCTATCTCGAGAGACAACACCTCCGATACCTGAGGAGACACCTGAAGAGTTGGCTGAGGCTCATCAAAGTTCTGGAAGTTATATGTTTGAGAGGCGTTCCTCATCACACAATGTTGAGATTAAGTAAGTACAGGCAACTTGGAGGTTTTAGATGTTCTATAATCTCATAATGTTTCCTGATCAGGAGCGTGGCCGAACCGATTATTTGACACACTACCACTGAAGAAATCAAACTGTTTCCCTTAATAGCATTTGGTGGTGTACCTTCTAACAAAATGACACTAATGATAATATAGACAGGAAAAATTTAACTTTAAACGGATTAACTATTATAGTATGTTGTTAAACAGTAAAAGTTGTAAAAGTTTCCTTGTTTTTTTTGTCATATAATCTTTTTATGACTTAGGGGCTTTGTTTTTATTAACATTACTAAAATAACACAAGGTGCTGCACAAGATTGTGAGTGTTTAACAGCAATGAAACATTTCCTCTCAAGCAACCAAGAGTGACAGCATTAGCATTACAGTCCTCAAAATGTATTTTCTCATATTGTGGTTCTATTCTTAAGATCTTAAAAGTCTCAGAATCGTTAACTATATTGCTTACAGCAGGAGACTATTAGAATAATCTGCATTGGCTCTTTGTTGTCAACATATGTTTCTGTAATGCAAACTGAAATGAGTTTATGTACGTTTCCAGAGCAGAGTCGGTGAACTACCTTGGATATTATTCTTCTCATGAACAATTCATGCAACAGCTGATCATGGAGCAAGCAAACAAGGCTCGAGGATCTATAGAGGATATCATAACCCAAGTCTCTTTGCATTGCCGCACACACTTCCTATGGAACAAACTTACTTCTTCTTGTTCCACGGTAAACATAAAAGTCGTAGCTTTGGATAGATTTAAATTCATTTAATTATATGGATGTATTCTATAGTTGAACATTTTGTCACTCATGTTCAAAAAAGGTTTGATTACAAAGATTTCTGAATAAGGTACCATTCATTGGACAAACCGCTTTCTCCATGTAACACATTGTAGTTCTATACCAAGCTCTCCCCTTTCCACTATTGTTATATAGTGTTACAAACTATCGTCAAATAGATTACAGAATAGGACCAAAACCAGCTAGAGTCGGGTGGGGAGAGGCGAGCGGCATTTAATCAACTTTCAGAAAACGGTCCACTGTTGCCAAGTTGTGCCACAAGCTCAGTCTTTCTCTGCCCGACAGCCGACCTATGCGTTTCACAGACATCCTCTTGTTTTGTCAAGAAATCGCCTGTGAGCTACGTTCCACACAATAAATACAAACAACACAGTAGTACGTGACGTGGACGACCATAAGTACACGCAACGTCCCAAGGACGTGGTGTTCCTTTGCATGCTCATTTTCACGTTAATTTTGTTTCATATATGATGCTCTAAGCTGAGCAACATTTTTAGACCTGCTATAAACTTGTTTCTACAAACAACTTTGTTTGGCCATATAAATTTACTGTTATTGTTACGGCGATCTATTTAAAAATCATAGCTGCCAAATTTATGCGGAAAGCCAACAACATATTTCCAGAAGCATGTGATCCTATCAAATTTATTTTCATTTTGTATTTATTAATATGTTTATATATTTTACACAAAGAAAAAAGAATTAATAATTTTTAGTGATGAACTACCATACAAGTGGAAAGATTAGAGGCAACGGGATGCCAGGCTTTAGCTGAAAGGCAGCTCACCAGGCAAGAACGATGTGGCAACGTCACCTCCCCTACCCCTTCAAAGGCCGGTCCTATTCTGTAATCTATTCGACTATAAAATTAGTTTCTCAAAACACATCAGAAGCTGGTATCCGATCCTACCATTATGTGAGAAACCACCTTGAAAAATATTAGTCTAGAAATCCAATCATAGCTGGAAAAACTTACACATAGCATTTTTTAGCAGCTAAAACACACAAATGCAAATAAAAAAGTTTAAAAATTATAATCCAACAATTAAGGCTAACATAATTTACATGCCTAAACTCATCTTATTTAACCTCACTATACTAATTCAGAACAGTTATTGATCTGCAGATTGCAGATATTTACCGATAATTCTCAGTCTTGAAGTCTCGTCAAATAGGTACTATGATTGTATTAAGTTGATGATGATTGATTAGTTTTTTAGTATTTTACAACTTTTATATTTATATGGAGTTATTGATCACCCAGGGGTTGATTCCTACCTACGCAGAGTTCTCGGAGTTGCTGAATCTGGCGTCCATTGAGCCCCTAAGCGACGTAGACTCTAGAGTCAGCCCGGTGCTGACACAGCCCCTGGTCTGGTACCAGGGTCTCGCCAAGCTTCTGCAGGCCAAGTACACAGACTTCTGCAAGTCCTTTACATCTCCAGACACAGCTGTGCTATATCATTTGGTGCTGCATCCTCGGGTCCCATTAGGATTCATTATGATCACCTTAGACTCCAATGCATCTCAAGGGGTAAGCTTATTGGATAGCTTAGTGGATATAGTGCTAGCCTTGTAATCAGAAGGTTGACAGTTTGATCCTGAGACAAGATAAAAGCTTTTTGATGGTTTGAATTCAGACTCAACTGATCTTGATCATTAGGCTTTTAATAAATGATCCTGGCTAAGACACATCTGATCTTAGTCAGTAATAAAGAAACTATTATTCGTTCAACTCTCATCCTGCACTTGTGTTCATCTTAAAATATACAACCAGGTGTATCGTTATAAATGTACTATACCTCTTGGGATGGTATGGTATATCCTCATCCTTCTTTCAGATTTGACTCTAGTTGGTTTTGGACTTAAATGTTACGCGATTTAAGACTAACTGCCACTTTTATGCAACTTTTTTTCTATAAAACACCATTTTTACATGTCAGTGTTGGATCAGTTGCTGAGGGTCTAAATCCCGGAAGGGCACACATTTTGTATTTTGTACTTGTTGCTTAAGGTCCATAAACGGGTAGTAGCCGAAGGTCTAAATCGTGGAAGGTCTTAAACTACAGTCAATGAAGAAAACTTATCCACTGTTACTGTTTTAGACCTTGCGGGATTCACACCTTTGGCACACAACCCGTATTATCTAATGAAATGTTTATGAAATGAGAGTTGCTGAGGGCCTAAATCCTGGAAGGTCTAATTAGACCTTCCGGGATTTAGACCTACAGCAACACTCCCGTCCTTGCTGCTTAATTTTGCTTTTTCTCAATAAATTATTTAAGCTCTTCACTTGCAGCACAGAAAACATACTACTATAATCCAGAATGCCAACCGCATGGTAAAAAGCATTAAGTGTTTTGAGAGAGCTTTGCCTGTCAATTCGTAGGCAGCGCCACCAGCGTTGCCATGCACTCAGCATAGCAACACTAGTGGCGCTGCCTACGAATTGACAGGCAAAGCTCTCTCAAAACACTTAATGCTTTTTACCATGCGGTTGGCATTCTGGGTTATAGTAGTATATTTTCTGTGCTTGCAGTCACCAATACTGTTGGTGTAACTAATAATATTAAGGAACAAGTTTGGTATTAAATTGAAGTATTTGTTAAGTATAATTAAGTTTATTATGTATTGTTAAACAGCTAAACAGGATGCCATACGTTGCAATTTTTACCATTGCTGGTGTATTTTATCATAGAAATCCTTTTGAAATCTTGTATAAAGACAAAGACATTAGATTAGTCCAAATTCGGTTCTGATTTAAAGTGGATGTATATCAAATTAAATATCCTCCCTTCCAAAGTGTATTTTTTAACTCCACTGTACATTTTGAACAAATTATTTACTTGTGAAACTTGTTGTAGGAAGTGAACATTGTCACCAGTAAGACTCTGGGCAATGAACAAGTGTCCAACGTTCATCTCCCCACTCTCATAGAAGATGTTATCAATGCTTGTTGTTATCAGTTGTGGACAGGACTCGTGTAGCCTCAGCCTCAAACTTTTACATTCCGCAGAGACGAGTCACCGATCCCATCTAGTCACTCGTCTGTGGTCTGGCGATTTATGAAAATGTAAAATAACGCCGCTGCAATTGAATCCAATGGTTTTCTTCAAAAGCAGGGTTACATAATATTAGGTTTGCAATGCCATGTATTGTTTTGATGTAAATCAAAATTTTTGGTTTATTACAAAATCTGTTTTCATTCCACAGGCTTTTAGTATTTTTTTATGTTTTGTGTTTGCTACGATAGCATAGTTTTTTATTTGACTCTGATTGGCGATCAAAAATAAACTATTCAACCAAAGTTAAGAAATAGCCTCTCCCTCTTTTAAATTTTGTATTATTTGATATAAAAAAAAAAAATCTAGCCCCTAATGTGTTATTATTTTACATGTTCATAAATCACCTTCGTAGTTTATATAGTTTTCACTTTCCCTCATGTGTTTTTAGATATTACGTTTAACAAATTTGTAATTGTTTGTAATTAATACACATAACTATTCTCTACATAAACAAAATGTTTAATTTTTTTTTTACTTTCGTAATTGCATAACTACATAAATAATATTATTTTACAGGAATGTACTCAAATGGCTTGTTTGATTGTTTGACAGAATTTGTTGTTAGTAATACTAAGGAGTTTAAATAGTTCTAATTAATTTTAACTGTTAAACATTGAAAAATGCATGTGAACATTTTTATACATTTGCTTTAAAAACTTCTGTGGAAGTGTTAACAAAGTTTTTAACTTATAATAAATATGTGATTTTAGATGTAAGTCACAAGAATTCTTAGACAAATATTACTGTACATGTTTATAGAGTATTTACTTATATATTTTTATACAAAAAAAGGATATATTGTGGGTTTTTCTTGCTACGATTTTTGTATGGAATTATTTTTCTTAAGACTAAACAAAGTTGTAGTGAGTAAGCTTTGGGGTGTCTTTCTATATGTTATTGCCATTAGATAATCCAAAACACCAATATCAAATTTCATTCAACATTATTTTAGACTATCTTTTTTGGAAATGATTTTACATGTTAAAAGGCTTATATAATTGAAATTTGTTATATTTATTTAGTTGTTGGAACTGCCTTTTAGTGTGGTTTGAGGTAGTTGAAATTTGTTATATTTAACAACTAGACCCACCATATTATTTATTGTTAAAACCATGGGTTGGGTTTTAAAAGTACAAAATAAGCGTGCCATAATATGTTATTGTTGTTTGATAATTTGTTTTTAGCTTATTGCATATATTGTATTGTGTTGTTTATGAAGAGATATTGCATTTCTGTTTTTAATATAACTTGTTTTAGGTTCAAATAGTCTTAGATATTTGGGTAGCTTAATACATTTTGACTTATTTCCTTAATTGTTATTTTCACTTCTTTTGGCAACTTTAAATACAATAAATGTAACTCTAAAGGGTGGTGCGCAAAGAATGAGATATATTTTAAAGTAACATGAATCAATGCATGACCTTTCTTCACAGCACGTTAATTCTTGTCTCATCTCATTAATTTTGGATTAAGATTACAGGATCTATAGTGTACTTACAAATCTTAAAACTAATTTTAAAATTTGCTTTTTAAAGTGCATAGACAATTATCTTCCAAAAACTGTAGATGCATATTTTAAGTGTAACATAATTTTGTATATCTAGGTTAAGGAGAATGTGATATTTTTTACTGGCTACCTATGAATCTAAATAGTGATGTTGATGTATCCTATTAATTCTTACAATTGATTTGACAATCAAATCCATCAAAACCATCGTTATTGCACTTTAATCAAATTATATTTGTCCCTAAAAAGTTACATTTCTCAACGTTTTCAATTTGATTCTGCCAAATCTGCTCTTTATTTTATCCTTTCTTTTACCAGGTGTTCAAAAAGTCTGGAAACCCCATTATATTTTACTTACGAATAAACATAGAATGATAAAACTGTAGGATTACCCCCTTACTTTATTTAATCACACTTTAGGAGTTTTAAAGGTTAGGTTTAACTGAGGAAACCTTTGTTGAGGAAAAAGTCAGGATTGCAGCAACGTGTTCCTTTGACAAACACATTAAAAATCATGAAAAATATCCTTTATCATTAGGGATTTTGGATGCTTCTCCCACCAACCACAGTGAGGATGTAATCCTTGAGTTTCATTGTTCTACGTTTATTCAAAAAGTAAAATGTTAAGGAGTTTCCAGAATTGTGAACTCCCATTATATAACATTTGTAGCTTCTTCAATATACAGTATTGTACAAAAATATTGCTAATTCTCTCATAACGCCTAAAATACCCACGCCGCAGCAAGCCTGCAGACGAAGTGAATTTCCATTTGCCTGATTGGATTTACACTAAAATCTAAAAGTGCATCAAATTACAATTTAGATAGGCTACAAGAGATTTGAATAGTATATATTCCTTATTTGATATGAATGAAATATGAATGAGTTTTCAACCTCATTCATATTTCTATACTTATCAAGTATTTGCAGCATCGACAGATGGGTTTATTTGATGTTTACGGATATAATCTATCTTAATGAGAAGATGGTTCAACAATCCAACCCATCTACAATATAGCACTTCCTTTAGACGTATGACACTTTACCCTGACAATTTTGCTCAATATTTCTTTCTATAATACACCTCCTGAGGAATAATTCACTAACTTATAATCTTGTAGTAAATTACAATGGCTAAAAATATGTTTTTACGTCTAGCCATTCTATTCTTTAGTTTTGTTCATCTTAAAAATATGTTTGACTCGTCTAAATGTACTCTTTGGTCTTCTGTTTTATCTGCCCCCCCCCCCAATTTTTAAATCTCAAAAGTTCCTCAAAAATGTATAAAATGATTTGAAAACGTGTATAAAAACATAATTAACCTTTTCCTTTTATTCATCTTCTACCTTTATTGCTCTGGTAAAATTAAACTTAAGTTGTTAAAATGTTAAATGATGCAAGTATAATTAAAAGTAGTTTGTTAACATCTTCAAAGCTATTTATTGATATAACATAAAAGCACAAATTTATCTGCATATTATCCTCATTTTATCATTTTAGATATTGTTAACTCTATTTAGTATCTGTAAACATTGTGCAATTTTGTATTTCACTGCTTGTCGAAGTGAAGATGGCCTGTTTTAAGCATTTTGGGTTGAGGTTTATAGTTGCCATTATAAATGGCTATTAGGTAATGAAAAACTCTAGTCATGATGTTGATGCCTTAAACATGCCATTTATTTTTCTAAAAATAAGTCTTTGAGGTAAAGACTATTGCAAAAATGTTGCTCAGAAGCCAAGATTGCATTTGAGGATGAAGGATGATGTGTGTTATTGACGTTTACCAATTGTCGGTAATTTTCCATTATAAATTATTGTAACATATCTTCTTACCTTATAGTAAATTATCGTTGTTTCTGTGACTTAGAGCGGAATTTTTACAGGTTTTATTCAATTTCACATATCACTATCTTGAAAAAGTATTAATTCTTACAGGAATAAGTACGTTTCTATGAAAAAGAATTATGAAGGACATTTAACCATTTAACTTAAACCTCGAAAGATGTTTTCATTGATATCCTCTAAACTGCATTTTACTAACTGCATGCCAACTCTGTCATATCTACATAAATTTTCTTCAATATATTCAATTTTTGTTTATCTCAATTTGATCTAAATTTTTTTTGTGGAATGATTCTCTCAAGAAATTTCTAATAATTTACAATACTATGCAGCTTTTTTGGGCCCCCAATAAATAATTTTCTAGTGCTAAATCTTCCTGAATTCAGTTCCATTTAACACACATTTATATCTATCTGTCTTAATAATCCTTCAAGCTATCATGTTAAAACAATCAAAGTTTTTTTTATATTTTGTAAAAGTATTGTTAGAATAAGCCTAGTTAAAAAAATATATGGTTTTATATGATTTATTTACCAAGTAAATTTTAGTGAGCAGACCATTCTTTAACTTAGTTACAAGCAGTGAATTCTTCGAATAGGAAATATTTAAGGGGATATATTAATTTGTTAAAAGTTTTTGTATGGGTATTTTTGTATGCAATTATGTATGTTAACTAGTAGAATAAGTTACCATAGTACATTATTTGTTTATTATGGGCTAAGACTACAGATACAAATGTTAAACTAGTCAAGGGAGACTAGTCTAGTTTTACATATTTTTTCATGTGTTCATAATGTTAAGAATAAAGGTTCTATTTTGAAAAGATTTTCTCATATACTAACCCAAACCATTGTTTTCTATTTTTGAAAATATACACTGAAAGATTGTTTTGAAGTACCTATTGTGGTATGATTTATAAATTAACTTTTAACAAAATCTCTATGCCTGTAAGTCATGCATTGTTATTAACTCAAAACGATATAACAGAGGATTTCACACTGTTTCTCTATCACACATTGAATATGTAATGATTTTGTCAAGAGAATCATGGTTATGTTACCAAATTAATAAAAGAAACATCTTATAACACTTAAAACATATATTTACGCTTAACTTATACTGTTACTCACAAGACGGTAAATAAAAATACAAAAAAGGATGGTAAGAGGTGATCGATTTCAATTGGACAATCCAATCATCATCAGACCCAAAAGGCGAATGACAAGAATCTTGAATGGCTTCCCTACTTATATCTTATTGGTTACCAGAAGCAACGGCTAATACATTTTTATAAGTACAACTGGAGTCAAAATTTACTTGTTCATTAATCAGCTTATTTCTATTTGTACATTTTTCCTTATAAATATACAATTCTTCCCAAGCATTCATTACATATCCTTTCTTACAATTCTTTAAAATACATAGACTATCATCCATTTTTCCTATTGAGTGGCCATTTTGTAACAGGTGTTGTGCATTTGACATTTGATCTTTCCGGTTTGTTGTTCCTCCACGAGGATATGTGGTTTTTGAAGTGGTCAACAAAATTCACAGTATATCCAATGTAGAAGCTATCACAATAGTTATAATTGATTTTATAGATGCCCGAAGCGTCAAATTTGTTAAAATTTTCTATTTTCCCCCTGTAGCTAAATGTGACATATCAGGTGTTTTCCTCTTTTATCTCTTCTAATGTTGTTCTGATGTGTAGTTTATTCTGGCTATTGATTTTTTCTTCCTCTTTCTTGTGATGTATTCTATTGTC